CCTCCTAACTGCTTTCAGATTAATTTTTTTTTAATTAAATCTTTATTGTTCAGATTATTACATTTGTTCCTCTTTTTTTTCCCCCCATAACTCCCCTCCTCCCAGTTCCCGCCCCACCCTCCGCCCTCACTCCCCACCCACTGTCCTCATCCATAGGTGCACGATTTTTGTCCAGTCTCTTCCCGCATCTCCCACACCCCTTTCCCCCCCAGGAATAGTCAGTCCATTCCCTTTCTATGTCCCTGATTCTATTATAATCACCAGTTCATTCTGTTCATCAGATTATTTATTCACTTGATTCTTAGATTCACTTGTTGATAGATGCATATTTGTTGTTCATAATTTGTATCTTTACCTTTTTCTTCCTCTTCCTCTTCTTAAAGGATACCTTTCAGCATTTCATATAATCCTGGTTTGGTGGTGATGAACTCCTTTAGCTTTTCCTTATCTGTGAAGCTCTTTATCTGACCTTCAATTCTGAATGATAGCTTTGCTGGATAAAGTAATCTTGGTTGTAGGTTCTTGGTATTCATCACTTTGAATATTTCTTGCCACTCCCTTCTGGCCTGCAAAGTTTCTGTTGAGAAATCAGCTGACAGTCGTATGGGTATTCCCTTGTAGGTAACTGAGTTTCTTTCTCTTGCTGTTTTTAAGATTCTCTCTTTATCTTTTGCTCTTGGCATTTTAATGATGATGTGTCTTGGTGTGGTCCTCTTTGGATTCCTTTTGTTTGGGGTTCTCCGTGCTTCTTGGACCTGTAAGTCCATTTCTTTCACCAGGTGGGGGAAGTTTTCTGTCATTATTTCTTCAAATAGGTTTTCAATATCTTGCTCTCTCTCATCTTCTGGCACCCCTATAATTCTGATGTTGGTACGCTTGAAGCTGTCCCAGAGGCTCCTTACACTATGCTCGCATTTTTGGATTCTTTTTTCATTTTGCTTTTCCGGTTGGGTGTTTTTTGCTTCCTCGCATTTCAAATCATTGACTTGATTCTTGCGCTCCTCTGGTCCGCTGTCGGGAGTCTGTATAATATTCGTTATTTCAGTCCGTGTATGCTTAATTTCTAGTTGGTTCCCCAATATAAGATCGAGGGTCTCATTAGTTTTCTTGTAGATCTCATTAAGTTTATCGGCGGCTTCTAAACAGTTCTTGAGAGACCTTAAAAGTGTGGTTCTGAACTCTATATCTTCCATTGACAATTTTGTCCTGTTTCTTTGTCTCCGCATTTTGTTATGCTTCCTTGGTGCACCCCCTAGTGGTCTTTGTTCGCAGTCTTATAGTTAAATCTTGATTGTTGTAGCTAATTCCAGGGAGGGTTTGACCTCCAGGCCAAGTGGCTATGAGAATCAGCTGTGTCAGCAGTGAGAGAACTTCTGTCCTCTAGGGAGGTGCTAATCTGGCGTTTGCCTGAGGCTATCCGGCAAATGCCTGTGTGCAGGGCTTGGGCGGGGCGGGTCGCACAGGCTCAACAGGGTGGGCTGGAGAGAGCAGTTATGGCGGCTCTCAGTCCTGTCCCCAGGGGCTCTGCCTCTCTGAGTCCCAGCACCCGCTGCAAAGCTCAGAGAGAAAGCTGCACTCGCTCTGACCGAAGCCAGACAGTCCCGCTTCTCCCGTTTGAGTCTGGGTCGCTAAAGACTCGCCCGGATCTGGAGCTCAGAGTCTGCGACTCCCTCCCGATTGAAAACGCCAACCGCGCCCTCCGCCGCCAGCCCGCTCGCGCACTCCGCACCTCAGAATTTGACTTCAGCACTGCGCCTCCTCTGAGTGTCCGTATGCGTTTCTCTTTCCTCCTAGTTGTAGGACTTCCACTCAGCCAGCGTTCCTGTGGTTCTGGGTGATGTCCCTTCCGTTTTTTGGTTTCACTTTTGAAGTAGTTGTTCAAAGCAGCAAACTCCGGCGTTAACCTATGCCGCCATCTTGGTTCTCCTCAGATTAATTTTTAAGGGAATAAAAGTGCAGAGAGTAGAAGAAATATGGCAAACTCTCAGAATGGCCCTGAGCGTCGGTGGTGCGGAGCAAGGTGAGTGCCCGCAGTGAGTGAAGGTGCAGAGCGGCCGGGGAGGCTGCCTGGCATGTGCCAAGGCCGACTGGAGAAGTGGCTGCACAAGGTTTCCTCGGGGGTGGCATTCCCGACCCCCATCTTCCTTCCAAGTCTCCCTCTCTCCCTGAGCTTTACCTAATTTGACTTTCAGGATGTGAACCCTTGACTTCCTTCCCCAGCACCAAGAGCAACACCTGGCATATGGCTCCCAGTCCTGTTGGTGGCATTTGTACTTTGGGGACAGTGAGTCTCCACAGCTGCCCCAGCTCCTTGGTGCAGCACATATAGCCCTGTCCCTCTGGCCCTGGGAGCCCTGCTGTCCTCCTCCATTTCCCTTTCTGAGATCACCCAGCGTGTAAACCAGCTCTCACTCACGGGCATTCGCCAGGCCCAGACATGGCGCTGGGCCTGCTAGTAGCTCATTTCTGCCACACAGTGGCCCAGGGAGTCCGGATGGTTTTATAGGTGAATAGCACAGGCTCAGAGGTGAGTGACTGGCCCCAGGCACATGGTGCTGTGACCAAGCACAGGCTTGTCTTGCACCAGAGTCTGAGTCCTTAACCACCTCTCTCAACTGCCCCCTGTCAGCCTCTGAGCCTGGGCACCCGACCTTTCCTCCGCTGGGTGTGCCTTTCTCCTCTGTCTCCTGGGTGACCTGCCGCTCAGCATGGTTATGGACGATAGGAGACTGAGTGAAAGTCAGTGAGACACGGAGGGAGAGGGCAGAGGGCAGGTCAGAGAGGCTGGTGCTGGATCTTGGATCTTGCAGGCCTCTTATGGCGTCTGGACAGTGGGAAGCTGTCCTAAGGCCATAAGAGGCCTGTGAGATCTGGCACCAGCAGGTGACGGTGTCCGACCTTGTTTGGGAAGATCGCTCTGCCTGCTTGGCAGAGAATGAATTGGAGGGCACCTGTTCTCTCTGTCTGTTCCCTGCGATTCTGTGTAGCTGTTGAAAATGAGGAATGAGGTCAGATGACACCTGTAAGTGCCCTCAGAACCTGTAGAAATTCCAGCCGGCCGTGGTGTAGCCTGCCTTTATTTTTGTGACAATAGGAGCTATTTGTGATCTCAGATTCCTCTTCCAAGGCTCACTCTGAGTTTCAAATTCATTTCTAGTTATTCTAGAATTTGGAAAGCGTTATTTGAGGACAATTAAGTTCACTACAGTTTTGTAAGATGAAAGCTGTTTACATCAATGGCTCTATGTAGGGATATATGATCTGAAAATTCAGAATCTCAGAGCTGAGCTTAATAACAACAAGCACTGCAGGCAATGGCTGCGGGAAATGATTTCATCCAATGTTGTGTCCGCACGGCCATCGGATTCCATCCCATTCCCTAGGGGAATGAAAGCCCTCCCTGACGTGGTCAACTCACGTTCCTGGCTGCAAACGAGAAGCAGGGTTTTGACAGCTCACCATAAACACCACTGGAGGCTGGGATGTTTTGATGTTTTATGCACTTATGGGAAATTGTTTTAACGCGCTGGCTCCCATTGAAGAGCAAAATAAAAACAAAGCAAAAGCCTGCTTTGCATTGGAAGTGAGGGTGGCGTTTATTTAAAGCTTGAATTTGTGGGGGCATAGTAGCAGGTATTCAGCATTAATATCTCCAGTCACGTGTTTCCTGCTAACGGGGAGGTAACTGGATGCTCAGCCCGAGGAAGCTCACGCAGGGTTATGTGGTTACCACGTGGAGAACCACACAGGCATTGTTAGTGGTACTGTATTTATTTGTGAAAAGCCCAAACAGATCATGTTCAGCTGCTTTTATACAGAAGGAAGAAGGCAGCGGAGAATATTAGAATATTCACTTTAGGTCTGTACAGTGAAGCAGGCTGTGTGCAGGCTCGGCGGCTCATTCCCCCTTGCTCATCACACAGCCTTGCAGTGTCTTTTGGGCCACATGCGCTGTGCATTCCACAGGGCTTTGAGAGTGGGCGCCTGAGGGGCAGAGAGGGGGCCCTTTCTAGACTGGGGCTCCCACAGCAAGTGTGGCGGCCTCAGGATTACAGCCAGAGCCTCACACTTTTCACACTGGTTTCACTGTGGCTCCCTTCAGTTCCATGTAAAGAGTTTTAATTCTTTCTAAGAGTCTAAGGGGTAATTCTGGCTGATAAATGAAAGAGCGCACCTTATTAGCAAACTAAAAAGCAAGGAGGAGTAGAAAGAATGCACCTTGAGGAATGTTAATATTCTGATGTATGTACTTTTTTGCCTTTTAGCCTATATATAACAACCTGTCCAAAAAAAAGGAGGGCTCCCTTTATCCCTCCTGAGGCATTAAGACTTGGGTTAACAATCTTCTTTTGTAATACATTTTTATTGATTTCAGAGAGGAAGGGAGAGGGAGAGAGAGATAGAAACATCAATGATGACAGAGAATCATTGATCAGCTGCCTCTTGCATGCCCCCTGCTGGGGATTGAATCTGCAACCTGGCATGTGCCGTGACCGGGAATGGAACCGTGACCTCCTGTTTCATAGGTCGACGCTCCACCACTGAGTCATGCCAGCAATCCTTTTTTTAAAAAAACTTCTTCTAATATCCCTTCTTATGTCTGACATTACATTTTTTTGTGGTTTTCAGAACCCAGGCCCCGAGGAACAGAAATGGTCAGTCATTCTAATTGTGCCACTAGTGGGACATAACTCAGATTAGAAAGAAAACTTTGGCTAGAAAAGTGTTCATTAATAATAAAAGCCTAAGGTACAAAAGTGACCTGATACAGCCGTGTTCTGACCATAAGTTGTGGACTGTCGATACCATAGTGTTAAAATCAACCAAGTAAATAAATGTGTTGTGCACGGTTGGATTGTGTAGCTCGTAGGTGACCAGTGTTACCTCTCCAGCCCAACGACCCCTGAGGCCTTGCTGACAGGTGTGGGCCCAGAGGAGGCGGGAGAGTCCTGGGGAGGCTCTGCCCTCGGAGCCTCACTATCTCGTCTTGTGTGTTCCAGGTGGCGGAGATGCACGGAGAGCTGATCGAGTTCAACGAGCGCCTGCACCGGGCCCTGGTGGCCAAGGAAGCCCTCGTGTCCCAGATGAGGCAGGAGCTCATCGACCTCCGGGGACCGGTGAGTGACTCAGGATGCCTCGGCTGCGCCACTCTGCCCTGTCTCTGTCTGTCCACCCAGCCCTTCCTGTCCACAGCCCCGCTGCTTAGTCTGTTCATTGTTAGCAACGTGAAGGGAAAGAGACTAAAGAGTGAGCACTCATGTGCCCAACATCCAGCTTTTCTGTACATTAACTTTTAACCACACTTGCTTTCCCTTTTTTAGGTAGGATAAAATAAATAAATGCTACAAATTCTATTGAAGCCCCTTTGCAGCATTTCATGCCCCTGCCCTCATTGTCAATGATCTGAGGCTGGCATATAGCCTTTCCCTCCATAGTTTTATACTTTCCTACGTAGATAAATTCCCATGAGCAGTAACTAGACCTGGTTTTGTGTAACTTTTACCTACATGGTATTTCTCGTACATATCTCTTTGCCCCTTGTTTTTGTTTGTTTTTAATTCAGTACTATGGTCTGAGGACCATATAGTGGCAGACCTAATGTAGAGATTTTAAACTGTGCCACTCTGGATAGTTAGGGCTGTATAATTTTTTGAAGGGGGTGAGGGGAGGGGTGTCCTGTGTATTGTGGGATGTTTAGCTGCATCCCTGATCCCTACCCACTAGAGGCCAGTAGCACCCCACCCCGTCATGGCAACCAAAGATGTCTCCAGACATGGCCACATGTCCTCTGGGGGGCAAAGTCACCCTCATTGAGGAGAGCTCCTGATTGGGCTCATTCACTTTCTTGACTCTTTAGTCCTCTGTTGAATGAAATACTACATTATTTTTAATCCAGTCTCGTGTCCGCTGACATTGAGATTATTGCCAGTACTTAGCTATTACGCACCATGCTGCAGAGAGCATTTTGTCCTTTCAAACACATTTATAATAGTTTTTCATCTAGAAACTTTTTGTTATGTCAAATGTTAAATGCCCAGAGGTAGGAGGTTGGTATAATGCATTTTACGTATCCATTGTACATACCCATTAATAATAAGTTGAATTATTATTAATCCTGGCCAATCTTTTTGAAGCTACCCATGCCTACTTCCCTTTTCTGTAGTATTTTGAATCAAATACTGGATATTTCATCTATAGACATCTCTCTCTGTCTCTTTCTCTCTCCCCCTCTCCACACACATACACACACACACACACACACGAAAATATAATTATGATATCACTGTCATTTCTCCATTACCAGTAATTCCTTTATTCCCTCAATATCAGCCCTGGCCAGCGGCTAAGTGGTTAGAGCACACCTTGCCCTCAGGCCCACTCTGCTCATCTCCCCCGTCAGACAGCTGGGGTGAAAGGAAGGAGAAAATTTCAAGTTCTATAACAGATCTGGAGCCTGTCTTCCTTTTAATTGTGAGAGGCATTTGTACTGGGAATCTCAGCCTCTCCTCCCTTCGTTTCCACTTGGCCTGGCCCATGCAGACCCTGTATTAGACTCCCTCCCAGACCTACAGTGTTTGAGCACCTCAGGGGCAGAACTGTGTCTCTTTATTTGGAAACCTCAGTTTCCTCTTCGATCATTGGGGAGTCACATGGCAGCAGCCTCTTTGGGCAGCTTGTTGAGATGCTGCCAATAAAACAACTCCATGGTGGGATGAGGTCAGAGCCCCACCCTGCTTTCATCTCTAAACCCCAGCGCCTAGCACTGTGTGGGTGCTCACTAAATGTTTGTTAAGTGAGAACTTTATTTCATAGAGCAGAAAATGACCACATGGACCAAATAATAATCTTTCTTAAAGATAGGGACATTGTTTCTTCTCATAGACTTTTAAGCTAAAGAACTTTTTAAGGAGTTTGGGATTTAGGGTTAAATTTTTTCCTTTTCTTTCTCTGAAAGTATTTTTAGAACTCTCGCCTCATTATTCCGAGTCTCCCCCCTTCCCCCCGCCCCATATAAGATGTGAATGAGTGCTGGAGGGTTTTTTTGTTTTGTTTTTACCTTTTAACAGGATTTGATTACAGCCCTGAAAATTCTCTGGGACAAGAGCTCCTATTTTGCATAATAAATGGAGACAGGGTAATAGAACCTGTAAGACGTAGAGGTCAATTAAGTTTACAGCACAGGGAAAGTGGAAGACGAAACAGTTCACTAAACGAAGGTTGTTCTCAAGGGGGAAGCAAACTTGGTCTCACTTTGTACAATTGCAGCGGATTCCTGTTTTCTTTGGTGGGTCTCTGTTCCAACTACCTTCAAGTGGCTCTCTGCACTTAAGCGAAGAGATGGCCCAGTGTGGTCTGACCTGAGGTTTCTGTAATCGCTACCCTGACTCAAAGCATCAGCCTGTCGGTTTGTTCCTCCTGTCACTGCTCTCCCTCTCCCCTCCCATGCTTGTGTGGGGAGGGAACCACCTTTGCTAGCCATTTACCGTGTGCTTGGGGTTGGATGCATTTTTATCCTCTCCCCCTCAGAACAACCCTCTGTTATTTATTAGATCGATATTTCAGCTGAGCAAACTGAGGTGCAGGTTGATTTCAAGGCATGACTTACCTACCCCAAGGCCTGCGTAGCACTAGAATGCTTTAACACCATGGTGCTTACTCCTCTCTCTCTCTCTCTCTCTCTCTCTCTCTCTCAATTTCAAGGAAAACTTAGTGTCTATTTTGCTCTAGGCATGACACTCTGGGTGGTTTTAAAGATTCAGATTCCTGATGGAACAAGATTGAACATGTTGGATTGAAGGGTGTTGAATAGGTTTCTCTTCTGTAGGACTTCCCCCCAGAGTGCCTCATGGCTCTCGGAAGAGGTAGATATAGCACATACATTGTATGTGTCATTTCCCACAATTATTTCCCCAAGGAGCATCTTTCCTAAGATGCTTTCCAAGGTGTGCATGTGGGAAAGGTAGGGCCACGTTGCATATCATGTCAGTTCCCCATGCACCAGCTGGCAAAGAGGTCGTGGTCTCATGAGCCTGCCTGGGTATGGGATCCTCAGGGCGTGGAGGAGAGGAGGTGACATTGTGTGGCTGTGGGTGCAGTGAGCCTGCCCTCCGTCCGCTAGAGGTGACAGGCTACATTCAGTCCGGGTCCAACTGGCCTCCTCCTCACGCCCCAGCTGCCCTGGGTCTCAGTCATGTTCGCAGCACTGGACCCCGGGCACTTGGGGCCTCTCGCACGTTGCCTCTCAAAGGCCAGGTGGTTCTGAGTTTCTCCCATGTGCTCTCTTCTCCTTCTTGCTCTGTTTCTCTCTGTGTTTTATTGGCCTTTTAGTTTCTTCTGTTGCCTCTGTGTGCTTTTCTCTCTTTATTCCTCTCTCGCTACCTACCTCTCTCTCTGCTTCCCTCTGCTTTCCTTTCTTGGCCTGCCTCCCTCTGACTTTATCTCCACTCTCTCTCCCTTCCTGTGTGCCTGTTGGCCGCAGCCTGTCTCTGTTTCTCCCTCATGCCTGAATCTTTCCCTGCGCCTGCCTCTCCCTTCCCATTGTCTCGAGTGCCATAAGCTTACATCACTCTGACAGGATGATAGCTGCTGCTCATTGCAGTGTCTTGGAGAAACCACAGGTCCTTTCATTTCTTCATTGCCCGAGACTTTTTGTGTGTAGCACGCGGTCCTGTGATGGGGCTTTCAGTGGGATCCACTCCCACAACAAACGCCTTCGCAGACCTTTGCGGTGCTCCAGCGTCTGTCACTCTGTGTAACCATGTTGTGTTGAATTTTCTGTCTTTCACCTGTGGGCTGAGGACAGCTTCCCCGAGACAGGGACTGTGTTCACTCCCTCCTCTCAGGCTGGCACACGGTCACATGCAGGTATGATGGTTGAGCCTGACCACGCACCTGTAGTGTCTATGGTGACACTGTTGGCCACACATTTGCTGACCCAGAAAGGTGCCTTCCTGGATCCTGCTGGATAAGAGACTTGCCGTAAGCTGCTTGGCGTTTCCATGGGTCTCCTTCCTGCCACGGTTGAAATGACCGAGCTGGTGGGAGAGAAAGACAAGTAATTAAAAATTCAGGAGGGAGATAGGTGAAAAAACTCATCCCAATTTTGTGATAAGGTTCGCTTTGGGAAAAAATGCTTCCTGGGACTTTCTTGGTATCTTTAAAACCTTCAGAGGGAGCCGGCTCATCTGAAGGCTGATGCTGTTTAAGTCAGGATAGTAAGAGATTTAATAAGAGATGTATTGTTCAGCTGGTGGCACTTGTGGACTCTCTGGCGATCAAGCACCAAACTGGCTGTGGTCCCACCGCAGCTCAGCGCCACGTTCCAGATCCCAGGCGGCTTTGTAACCCGGGCCCGGACACTGTGTTCCGGTTGCCTGCTGTCTTGGAGGAGATTATTTTCAAAAGTGCCGTTAAAGAGAGGCTGCTAAAAATATGTCTCACATAGAGGCTTAGCTCAGAAATACTCATTTTTGACACAAATCACCTGGAAAGATGCTTGCAGAATGCACTTTGGGCCCACCCAGGGTTTTCTGTCCGGGGACAAATACCCCACGTGACCACATGCCCCTGGACGCTAAAACAGATACTTTCTGTACCTTGGAGGGCTCCCAGGTCACAGATCTTTCCTCCCACATGTGCTTGTGATGCACTCTCGTCCCGTTTACACCTGGCTTGCTCGTCGCCGTGGGTAGCTGGGCCCCACTGGGGAGCTCCGGGGGCTACAGTGTAGAGTTTGGGTGGGCAGAGCCTGGCTCCCCAAGGCTTATGGGTGTGGGACTTTAAAGTAACATTTCCATTAAGATGAGAGTTGTGTGTCCGTTGGCAAGTGCAGTGTGTGCTAGCTGCTCACAGCTGGTCCCTTACATTGCTACAAATCGGAAGCACTGGCAAGGAACAGAGTTACCAGGGTTTATACACTCCGTGCTCCATGCTGACCAGCTGTGGGGTGAGGGAGGAATTTCCTCACCTGCTTAGTCTGCCTGCCGGTCACTTGTGTTTCTTGTGGTGTCACATACAAAGTGTGGGGTACACGGTGGGGATGTGGCAGACATGGACAATGTGGACTCTACCCTTGAACAGGTCAAAGACCAGAATATGTTTGGTGTGACTTGCATTT